AACGCCCACAAGTAAGCTGCATTGGCCTCACAAAGTACACATATTCTTGATCAGATGTCCGTCTATGTAATGAATATAGTAAACATTCTCTTGGCCGCAAAAATTGCACTGTCGACTTCACACTCGGTTGGGAGCGAGTCTTTTATATCCATCGCAAAAGCAAAAGATGTTCTTAGTATTGATTGTATAGACCTGTGGGCGTTACAATCGTCTAATTTGATCTGTTTAACGAACTAACAAAAGAATAGATAAACAGACGAACAGACGGATACGCTTAGGTGGTCAAGGTGGTGATTTTTAAAAGCCTACTTCTGTGCTTTATAAAGGTATTGAAAATAAAATTAAATTCTAATATGCTGTAATATAAATGGGCACGCAGTCTCCAAGTAATGAGCAAAAATCCAATTTTTTATTCCTTATGAAAAACAGAGGTGTGCTCAGTCTACGTCGAACTGTACGCAGGTCCTTCAACCAATTTGACTTATTTTTAATACGAATCCGCGCGCAGTAACACGCGAGAATGTTTTCAACAGACATTATACAGGCGCACGGACATGCTTACATCGATTTAGAATTTGATAAAGTTAATCCATAGTATATGTACTTTGTGTGGACTGTAAAGCTTCGTTCTGCAATCTGCGATTGCAAACGTTTTGACAATATGAATATGCTCGTCGTGGTATATCGATGATGGATGATGGGGCCCTCCCTGAAACTGAACTGAAATTCTAAACTTTCAAGATCTCCTTCATAAGCAAACCTATAACTTACTACCTTGTTTGATTCGTTATGGGTATTTTGTTTTATTTTGTTTTGTTTTGTTTGTTTGCTTTTTTTCTTTTAAGCTAATAAAGGAAAAATTATCGTAATATGCAACATAAATCATAAAAGTTTTTTGTTCAATAACACTTTAGAAGTTTCCGTTTATTCAAAAAAATAAAAAAAAAGATGAAGTAATAATAACAAAAAAAAGAACAAAATTTTAACTAAAATTATAAACAAAATAAAGAATTAAGCCAAAATCCTTAAAAGAAAAAATTCATTCAACTATATATAAACTAAATTAAACTACTTAACACAAAATGATTTAGAAATTCAAAGAGAAAATAGAAGGAAAAAATTTTAAAGTAATACAAAAGAGTTGTCCTTTTTTTCTTGTTTTTCTTTTTCTTTTTTTTTTTTTTAATAAACAAATTAAGCAAATACTTCAACTTAAAATATTACGAAAACAATTTTAAAAAACGAAAAAATTATATATATATATATATATATATATATATATATAAGTATATATACACACAAACAATTTTTTTTCTTTTTTAATTTAAATATAATAGCAACAAAAAATGTAATGATATTACAAAATTATATAAAAAATTCTATTCATTTATTTTTATTCATTTATTTATTTTGTTTTTTGCTTAGGATAAACATGTTGTAAAAACAAATTTATAACTTGCTGTTGTAGGAATATATTTTTGATTAAATTTTTGGTTGTTTGGTGGGGATAAGTTCAATGTATGTGGATTCGGAGATATTTTAGTGTTTTCAACACCGCTTTGGTTTCAATTACACATTTCTATAAAGTTTTCCATTTTCTTTTTTATACAATTTTCTTCAATTTTTTTTTTTTTTTTTTTTTTTTTTTTGTTTTGCACATCTTCAAAATTAATTTTCAAAAAAAAAAATATATAATATAAAAATTATTTATGCTTTCATATAGATACAAAAAAATAAAAAACAAAAAAACAACAAATAAAATATGGCAAGCAAAATATTACTAATTAATTATATTTTGTGTTTTGTTTTTTTTTTTTTTTTTTTTTTTTTTTTTTTTTTAAAGTAATTCCTAGCGGAAAAAACTTATCATTGTAGTTACTTGTCTTATACATCAAGATACGAGCTCACTTTCTCAGCCGTTACACTTTGATGCATTGAAAGGTACATTTAGAAGGACTTCATAACATATGTAGGATAAGAGTCAATTTTTAAAATTTTTCAAATTCTACCTGCTCTTTTCTCGCGCTACGGTAGCGAAAGTATTTGATACGTAATAAAAACGACTGAGTTTGTGCTACTGCAAAAAAAAAATTTCGTTCAGAGAAAGAAATATCACTGACAAAAACAACATCGGTGAGAGGGATTTGCTTAGAGAAAATCCAACGAAGCTAACTTTTCACTATTGACAAGAGATAGTAGAAACAATAATCAGGGGGAGCAATAAAATTTTTTATCCACACAACTATGTATGAAGCGCAAGGATCATTGATCAACATTTGAAACATTGTGCAGATCTGTTCTAAAATTTATTGCACGCTTTTCATTACGATAACCCCAAAAAATCTTCTTCTACGAAACGAAGACTTATCTCGGTCTCTCTGCAACCGATTTCAAGATAGTACTAGACTAGTAGGCAAAGCACTAAAAGATAAAGATTTAGACCTCGAATTGCATTTAACTTATATTAAATCGTCTTGTTTGGGTCTACTCTGTCGAGGACGCTGGTAGAGCCATTGACACACAAATTAACGGAGTCCAAAAGCTCCCAATTTGGGAGCAGATAATTTTATAAGGAACTTTTTTAAAAGTTCAATGCAGCTTTGCTCACAACAACAATTTTTCGACCACTTTTGCCTCTCATAAAAATAGGATAAGCAGTAGGAGGGTTTTTTGTTTTCTTTTATGTAATATTGCACGTCACAGTAACAGCTTTTTGCTAAAAACGTTATTGAACATCCTTGGATAATCAATACGAAAAACACTAACATTCGTTATTGGTCAAGTTTAGTTGTAACGAACTTGAACTCCGTGGCTCATTAACGTAACGAATATCAATTTAGAGAGAGCACGAAATAGCATTAAATTTAAGCTTGAAAATCTTTACCAATCCATTTTATGGAGCAATTTTAGATAGTGTTTTTAATCGACTAACGTTTATCAAATTTCTTTTAATTTCCACTCACTAGACCTAACAACAATGTTTCACTATTTCACTATATTTTAAATTTTTATTCAGTATTAACTATTAATTATAAAAAAAAAACAAAAAATGATTGAATAAATATTATTCAATGTTAAAGCAAGACGAAAAAAATGAAGGAAAAAAGATTCATTTACTTAAACTCCTGCCTCGAGGAGCTCGTCGATCGGCATTCGAAGTTCGATTAAGCTTTCTTGCTTTTCTTTTTTATTTTTTTTATTTTTTTCTACACAAATTTTTGATATTCAAAGCGTAACTTTAATAGACTGTCAAACAGATGGACATGTCAACATCGATTTTTCATAATCTTCATCCTTTCGTGCTTTAATCTTCTCTGCATTGGTTTGATCATTTTTTCCATCTATTTTTACCTTTCTTTCTTCCTTTTCTTTTTAGCCTTTCTTTCTCTCCCTTTTTCCACTTTGCATGTCATATTTTTTTTGTTTTTTCGCGTCCCTCTCACTTTCTCTTTTTTTCCCCCATTCCTTTTATATACATATATATATATATGTTTTTTTCGCAAATTATCGACTTCCATAAACGCGGAAATATAAATCGTATCCAACAATCAAGTACTTAGGATCTGCCACGGCTCATATATACGACGATACATATAAAGAATGTCCCAAAATTTATGCTAAACTTGAATTTGCCGTCATTCGCGCGGTAAAATGTAGCATTACACGAGAAATCAACTCATTTTGATTGTTGAACAATATTTTAAAAATAATAAAAGATTACCGGTCATAGTCCGTAGATTTCGTACAAAATGTGATCATAATAGCACATGTAGACGCCAATTTTTTTTTTTTTTTTTAAATATAGCTTAGAGGGAAAAACCTTATTTTCGAATAAGATCTGTATTTATAATGGATCTCTTCTACCTCGATTTTCACTTCGATCGGTTGTCTTGATGGAAAGTATGCACATTTTACTCTTACCAATTATTGGATGCGTGGTGGTACTCGAAAAAGTAATATGTCTTAGACAATTTGAATCGGTTATGAGGAGATTCTAAAGAGTACTAGCTTTACAGAGATGGCAAATAAAGAATGAAATAAGTAATTTGTTCCAAAGTGCTCTACAACAAAATCATAAGATATCGCTATGCGGTATATCTGATGCAAAAATTATGTATCAACGCTAGACAAATCCTCTCGATCGAAATCTTCTTAAGGTTTAAATTAAATTCTTAACGAGATCGCCGTGTAAACCTAGCTGCCTGCGCTAAATACCAGAGAATTTACAAATCTACATCGATGAAAAGTCTCCGTGCACTCGGTTCGACAAACATATTGATTGTGTAATCAATGCACATAAGAAATAATAATAAGATCGAAATTTTGACCAAGTTCTACTGCTAGACAGTTTTTCGCAACAATTACTATTGCTTTTGGCTAAGATTCGCCGCATGACAGCCTAAAAGAAGATGCCCTTTAGTTGATAAACAGACAAGTCTCATAAAAGTAGTAACCATGTTGACCATTGTCGGTCGGCCAGTTTATGAGAATAAGTTTTTAGTAGATATTGCAAAGAGATTCACATTTCATCTAATTGATAAGATCAGCTTGCGTTCGCTAAAGATAAGATCATTTTTCTATCTAAATTTTTGAATGTATGAATGAATATCGTTCGTAAGCACGTCAGTTTATCAATAAAAAAAATAAAAATAATGAAATGAAAAGGACTACTATACGACACATACACACTAGCAAATTGTTACAATTCGCTCATTAAAAGTAGTAAACCATTTTGGCAAAGATCTTGTATTTATTTTGCTAATATTGAAGTGCTTTTGTTTGTATTTTTTTTTTTTTTTTTTTTTTTTTTAATGTCATCACATGAAAATTTCTGAGCGAAATTTTTTTTTCTTTTAATTTATTGTATTTTTACATATACATTCAAAACTTTAAGCACAGCACTTACGCCTTCAAAGCAAAAACAAAAAAAAAAAAGAAAAATTACTATCATTTTATTTATAGCACGAATAGCTATTACGAATATATTGAAAATTTGTTATTGCAACAATTTTCTATGCTAAGAATTATTTAAAAACTATAAAGCTTATTGCGCTGAATATAAATCTATTTTTGGCAAACTATTCACTTTCAATAGCCGATGGGATAAGTTCAACAACTAACACGAAAAAAAAAAAAAAAAAAAAAAACAGAAAAAAAAGTCTCTAAATATTCTTTCAATTCTCTTCTCCACTATCTCCCTTTTTTCCATTTTTTTTTTTTTTTTTTTGGGGTTTTTTTTTTTTTTTTTTGTATTTTTCTTTCATTAAAATAATAATTTGGTAACTTTGGTGACTAGAACTGATAATTGGAGAAACAAAAAGGAAGAGAAAATATTCATAAAGCAAACAACAAAAGAATAAAAAAAAATTATCATAATAAAAAAATTAAAATGAAGAATAATTACTTTGCGTGCAGGTGTACGTATACCGAAATACATAGATACGTAGGAATAGACCGTATAAGACAGTGACCCAGTTATTGTTGAGGATGCAAATGTAATACGTGGCGACAGAATATATCAATCGTAGAGAAAAATGAATAATTAAGATGGATTGCTGGTTAAGAGCATCATATAGCTTGTGAGATGCGGTCAAATTACTGTATTCATCCTCCATCCATATTATACTTTTGTATCTATCTATCTATCTATCTGTCTGTTTGTCTGTTTGTCTGTTTGTCTGTTTGTCTGTCTATCTGTCTTTGTTAATGTTAATTTGGCTTTTGGATCATTGCTAGCCTTTAACGTATTATATATCACTGTCATCATTAATTGTAATTAATTTTCTATGTTTTCTAATTTAATGGTCTTGGCGGACAAAACGTTAGCTGAAGTTAAACCTATGGTGTTACTATTAGTACTACTATCGTTAGCGTTTGCACCAACATTCACCAATTGTATGCTGAGAAGCTCTTCAGCAGCATGGGTAGTTGCAGCAGCCGCAGCAGCAGCAGAAGCAGTACCAGAAACAGATGAAGATTTCGTCGGAGATAGATGCTCCTCTAATTTAATGGGCATAAGTTTGGCAAGGGTCTGTTTACGACGTTTATGCCCCGTTTTGGCACTTGAATGTTGTATATTATTGCGTCGAGCCCTACGTGCGCCAGTACCAATGACAAATGGCAATGGCATAGCTGTTCCAAGTTTTATATGACTGTTATTATGAATGATGTTATTGTTGTTGTTATTATTATTATTATTACTATTATTATTATTATTATTATTTGCTATTATATCATTGTTATTATTATTATTATTGTTGCTATTAAATAAAATAGTACCAGTTGCCATATTGAAATGTGCTGGATTGGCTGTAGCAATGAATACCTTGGCCGTTGCTGTTTGCAAAGCATTTACACAACTACCGTTTGAATGATGACTAGAACTATGACCTAATCTAGATGCGTTTAATATTTGGCAACGAACTTGTTGCTGCTGCTGCTGCTGCTGCTGCTGCTGTTGTTGATTGCCACAACCAACAACACCCGTATTACTGCTACCAACACCAACATTGCCAATGCAATTATTTATATTGCTAACACCAATACCATGTAATACAGTTTGTATAGGCGGTGAGCCGTGCGTTAGCAAACGATGATGATGATGATGATGATGATGACCGGCTGCAAATGGTGCTGCTGCCATAATTGAATAACACTGAAATTGATTGCTACCGTTGCCATGACTCTGATTATTATTATTGCTATTACTATTATTTCTATTATTATTATTATTATTATTATTATTATTATTATTATTATTATTATCATTGTTATTATTATTATTATTATTGTTGTTGTTGTTTGTATTACCGACATTGGACGATGAGCTGTTCTTGATGTTGTGACTGACGTTGCTGGCGATAGCTGAATCAGAGCCACTACTATTACTATTTACACTACCACTACTACTATTGTTGTTATTATTATGACTATGTGTAGAATCTACCTGCATGGGTGTGATGCAGACAGTGCCATCGCTATTTGTGTGTATCTGCTGTATATTGGCCATCATCGATTGATACATGGATGCTGAAACCGGTACCGTTATCATGTTTCCAACTGAAACTGGATAACCTGAAAGTGAGAAAGTATTAAAAAAGAAATGTAAGCAATTTCAGGTAATTTAATTAGACACACTATTTGTACATAAAAACACGAAGCAGGCACAAGCAATCTTATCCGTTAAGCGAGAATTGTTTACCCGCCAATTTTCAGTTATCGCGAATTATGCTTACTTTCAAAGCTCGTCAGTGAAATCAAATTACAAAATTCTATATAAACTTTGGCAAAAATACCACAACAACACCTACCGTGTAAATCAAAATAAATCAAGACGAAAAAATAGGAAGACAGATAAACCGTATGGCCATGCCGTAAGTGCTTGCAAAGGATGATCTTAAGGTCTTACGCCTAATAAAAAGCAAACCTTAATAATGGCTACACACCTAATTCTCTTTTTACACGAATTTCTTTTACATGAAATTTCATTTAACACACGTTAAAACGACAAAATTCTTTTCAATATTCTATAAATATTTTTGACGAGGTTTTTTTAGTGAATTTTTTTAATTAATTTTTTTTTGTTGATATTTCTATGAATTTTTCCATTCTCACAAATATGCATTCGTGTCGTATTTTTCACAATTCAGTTAGATTGTACCTCCCCGGATTTCCCGAATTATGCATGTAAGGTGTAATGTATGTTTTACGCAATTTAGTTTCGTTTTTCAAGATATAATTTATTTTTTATATTATAACATTTAATGAATTAAAATGTGTGAGCACAAAATATAGGCTTAAATGAAATCTAATAAGAGTTTTTTTCCCCCCATTTAGCCAATATCTTTTTTTACACGAATTTTTTGATAACATATCTATCGTGTAAAAAGGGAATTAGATGTAATGAGAGAATATCAGCCCGAATTGCGTAAATTAAAAATGAATTAAACTTGGGAAGTCGAATCGAAGCGTTCAAATACATAAGTCTTTCAACCACCTTCGAATTATTGTTTATAGCGTTTCTGAGGTATGTTGCAAACAAAATAATGAAATCAGCATAGCCGCAATCTCTAAGAAATTGTTATAAGGATTAAAAAAAAAAAAGTGGAAAAATAAAATAAAACTTTTTCATTCAAATTGTACGCTTAACAATTACCATACAGAAGTTGATTTATATATGTTGCAGGTATATGCACAGAAATACCCACGCATAAGTGTATGTATATATATGAATGATTCTGTTTGATTTTAGTCATAATAATATTCTTTTTTTTTTTTTTTGTTTTACATTGAATAAAATAAAATTTTATAAATTTCATATTCTTTTATAAAAACTTTTTTATGCTGGATTTCATAATAAATTGAATTAATTGAAATTTATATTAAAGCCCGGATAAGTAAAATTTTAATTTTTATTTTTTCTATTATTTAACATTTACGCTTTGAAGCTTATCAAAGAGACGAAATTTCGCAGTTTTTTTCTAAAGCTGCATCATCAAAACAAATATATATATATATATATACATTAAATTTATCAGTTGGGTAGTAATAATCTAAAGAATTCGTTAAGTGAAATCACGATTGCAGCTGAGTTTGAATTCAGGTATTTAAATAACACATTCCATACGGACGATAGATTTGACAGATAGATAAGCGACGAACCGATGACTAAATAATTGCTATTGATAATCATAACGAATAAGGGTAAAATGTCTCGAGCGGATATGAAATCAGTTTATCAGGCATTAGATCCGATTAAATACTTATAACGGTTCACTTAATCGCTTCGATTATTTAGATCAAGAGAAGGCTTATTGTCTGATCAGATTCATTAGTGAGGATAAATATGTAAAGAAAAAAAGAAACCTGAATAACTATTGCATTTATACCGAATCTTATCACCTTGTACTCAAGCATTTGAAACGAATGAAAGAGTGCAGGAGAGGAAGGTATAACAAACTACTCTTTTCCTTGGGCATTGTAAGGCGCTTGGGTTGTTGATCCGTCCGCTATTTTATCCATCGCAACAAAAAGTTATTTTAATAAACGGCCATATACACGGAGGAGATAGATCAACACTAGTCCCGTCGAAAGCGAAAAAGATTGACATGAGCTCATATCCGCGATTGCTATAATTGCTTCAGTGGGTCCAAAAACATCGAAGACAAATAACTTAGATCAATTCACGACATACGATTTGTTTCTAAATTTCATGATCACATAAAGATAAATTCAAATTCCAAGAAGATCTCAATCATATCAAATCTCATATGTTCTTTAAGGAGCATTTAAAATTTCAAACTACATATATTGCACGAGCGGACGCGTGATATCAAAAGAGTCATCTTAATTTCAATATAATTACTTATCTTTTTATACACAATGTCTCTGACATCACATGTCATTATTCAGATTTTGAATTTTAAATTCGTTCTTGTACGCAATATCATAAGGGGCCGTTTAATGTGTGTGTGTGTGTGTGTGTGTTTGTGCGTGTTTGTGCGTATTTGTGCGTGTACTTGGTAAATCGTTCCAAATACGGCACTCACGATCCAAATGTCATTCATTTGGGTAATTGCTCCTGCGGCTAAGAAGTTCTCTACTTTTCATGCGTTGTGCAACGCTCAGAGCTATACATCAAGTACCGCTCGATATACAATCTTAATTGACAAGGAATTTCATATGTAATGTTGTGACGTGTCTCCAAACTTATATATTATTTTCTTTTTATATAAAGGATACTGAACTAAAGAATATTAGTATGTGACCCGCCACCCAGAAATCACATAAAGACGGCTTCGTTTTTAATAGTTTCTGGTGAAAATTAGTCCACCGTAGATATTTGTTATATGAAGTTGGACCAGATGCGTATACTTTTCGCCCTTTTTTTTTTTTTTTTTGTATTTTATAAATGGAATAAATAAATTTACCCGCCGCAGGTATAGTTTTTAAGCTTTTGATGAATCCCTAATTATACCTTACATCACTTGTAGTAATGATATAGCAAGTTTAGAACGGATCAGAATGATTTGAAATAGTCTTGGCTTTTCTGTTCGCCTGTAGGCTAAACTACAAGTCGATACCTTTGAGATGTTTAAAGAAATTGATATATTTTGCTCCACATATCTAATCGTATCAAAAATTAATCGAGCAGAGCATTCTCACTCCTCACTCGTCATATGCTTGCAAGCTTGCAAAAGTTTTTATATATAAAGAAAAAAAAAAAACATTATTTGCGCAATATTTCGATAGATAAAACGGGGATGAAAAATGTGAATTGGATAGGAAGAGTATGCTTTAAATACCTTCTCATGTCCTACAAGACAACAAACCTTAATTTTTAATTTTTTTTTTTTTATTCGTTATTCTTTAAACACTGTACTTTACTTTAGAAGACTGTAGTGCTAGGTATTCAATATTCGATCTTATCCGACTATAATGTTCTAATAAAACGCTTGAAATAGTTTATTAGAAATGGATGAAAATGTTCATTGAATCATTAAGATATTCAAATACATTGGAGACGTTATTGTAACAAGTTTATGCAGAAGCAAACTTAACAAGGTCGCATTTATTTTTCCAATAAAAATCTTTGTTTGCCTTCGAAACCTCGATTCGAGAGATTAACTCAAATATTTCATCGTTCGTAATTAGAAATTGTTGATTGAGTTGTTTTTAATAAATAAACTAACTTAATGATAAGAAACGAACGAACTTTTCCATTAAATTCATTCTTTACTTGCTTGCATCCTGCTAAGATTTTTCGAATTGTTCCGTCGTTCAGTTTAATTTTTAATATTCAAAGTATAACAATCTCTCTCAATGGAATAGCGGCGTGTAAACTCAACATGAAAATAATTCAAATTTTGTTTATAACTCTTATTGTGTATTGTTTGTATAATGAAGCGTCATCTGTACGCGGCAGTATACGTCGCAGTGCCGTTAATTTAAATGATTCTGATGAAGACGATCACGATAACGACGAGAATGGTGATGACGATAACAACAATGATGATGACAATGATGATGATGATGATGATGATAATAATAATGATAAGAAAAACGCAATTGAAATAGACGCAAGCAAAGAGCAATTACCTATAGCATCAATTAAATCGCGTGCAATAGCTATGGATCGCGATCTATGTCGGATATTATCACGTTACCATCCGCATTATCCTCGCTGTTATAATTATTGTGAAAAACTCGGTCACTGGATGGGCATGTGTGTACGCAACAGTTGCCATTGTTATTCATAATTAAAACATTAATTGAAAACTTTGTCATTCAAAATTAAACAAACGTAAAAAGATTAACGTTTACCTCTTTACCTCTTTACTATTGCTTTTCCTATGCCGCTAGCTAGAATCATTTCATGTTTTCATGTGATCATATAATAAAGTGCCTAAGGGTCCTTCCTAACTTCAAACAAATATAAAAAGACCTTAATCTACAGTCGTGTGAAAAAGGTGCCATCACAATTATTTGAAAGGTGCAGGCAAAGCCTAATCTAAAATGCGTTAAGGTGCACACGAATTACGACAAGAAAATTTTTCCAGATTGATTTTTTAAGGAAACTAACTAAACCATTCTCACAATAAATTTTACACAGAATTTCAAATCACTCTAATTAGAAACTCATGAAGAGAGGACTTTACTGTGAGGGTTGTTTTAACCACACAAAGAAAAAGTCTTTTAATAATATATAAGAAATCAAATATTATCTCTCTTTCTCTTTCTCTTTCTCTCTCTCTCTTTCTCACTCTCTTTGTCTCTCTCTCTCTCTCTCTCTATTTTCTCGCTATTGCTCTCCTTCCCTCTCTCACCCCTTCTCTTCCGATCCTTCTCTGATCCGACTGCTTTCCTCTCAGCCAACTAAATTTAGAAATATATAGCAAAAAAAAAAAAAAAATTGCTCTAATTTCATTATGACTCAAATCAACTTTCTGCTCTTAAAAGAAAACCATCTTGATAAGCAGATCTTCTGCAGTACAAAGTATATTAAATTTGTACGAACGAATATAGTATACAGGGGAACTTAAGACACCTTAACACCTTTTATTATGCCGCAAAATGATTCTGAATCGATCTAAGCCCGTCTATCCTTCTGACAAGATATTGTGTATATGGGGCGGACCAGTTTTTCGATGTTTTATTTTGAAAAGTCGTTTCATGGGAGTAAATTGCAATTTAAAAAAAATTCTCGACAACAGTCGGTGAGTAATAGTACTGCAACGTTCGAAATTGATTTAAAAAATTTGATTCGATTAGAGTCATTTTTCGAACTTCCTCTCATATAACCGTTTCTATGAAAATCGAAACTTTTTATGGTGAGAAGGTATAAATTGATATATTTCAATGGTGAAAATCGATTCATAATAGTCAATTGACAAAGAAAGGAATTTGGGATCACGTAGGTCTACATTTGGATATCATTGCATGTAAGAATTGTCGGAATATATAAACCTTTACATGCCAAAAATGCCAGATCATTAATGTTTTTCGATGAAAATTTATTCGTGATAGTGAGTTGACTTAAAACTTAAGTGGACCATGTTTAAACCATATAGGTCTAATTGTAGGACCCCACTCCATATGTATAAGATATCTCATGAATACTAAGTCCTTCAGAAATAGGTTTAATTTTTAACATTTTAAATTTTAAGAAGTAAATTAGGTCTGCAAAATTTGGATGACATCATATGATGTTTTGGGCATCCTTCAATATTGCGGGCTTTCATGACACGCATGCCTTTGCTTGAAAATAATGTATAATTTTTCATGTATTATAGCCAAAACGAGTGAACTGTTTTGTACTAGGCGAAGTGTAGTGTAGGATAGGTGATCGTCGACCTTATTCGAATGTAACGACGTTACTTGTTAATTCTTACTCTAGAAAAATTTTTGAAAGCCATTGTCACTTCCTTGAAATCGGAATAGTTTCTCAAAGCAGTGAAATTAGCAGATTCAACGAACTTATTTTCGGCTTTTGGATTCTTTATCATTATAAAAAGTATAATTTCCTTAATCCGCCTGAGTAGCCGAAGGGGTGGAATCTCGACTAGCAAGTCAATGGTCGTGGGTTCGAATCTCAAGTGCGGTACAGTTTTTAATAAAAGCCGATAGCCTTAGATGCTAGTGCTTTTAAGAGTTTAGTCTTAGAATTTATTTCTGTGGCGAAATTAATAATAATAATAATAATAATAATAATAAAATTTCCTTAAGAGCTAAGGATGCCTATGTCTAATCTAATACTTTTTACTTGATTTGATAGTTTTTATTTTTAAAAATTATTTATGTATCATTTTCTACGCAACACTGTATGCATAAGCACTTTTAACCGCATAGTTCGATTTTCTAATTGCGCAAAAAAACGCAAACATTTATTTATATGAATTTTTCATTATAGAATGAATTTCCACTTCCGTGGATTTAATGCAGCAGCAGTTAATTCGATAAATTCCTTTCATAACAAAATCGACACCTGTGATAGACGAGAAGAGCAAAACAAGAGAAGATTCAAACGCAATTAGTTTATTAGCATTTCGATAACCTATTACTGATTATTCCTTTTAGTCAGCGAAGCAATTTTCACCTTGCGATTCTAATACATGAAGTCTTATATACATTGTTAAGCTGTTTTAATTATATTAAATTATATTAAATTAGGTACCGCAACCTTAGGCTTAATTCAAAAAACACGCATGAAGCTCAGCTTGATCAGCTTAATCTTCTCACAGTAGAGAAGAAACCCGGACGAAACAGACAGACAAACGGTTAACATATATTTTTAGCTCAGTAACTTGCAAACTGCAACAAATTTCACGGAATGGAAACTTAACCGAATCTTATAGAATTGACGTATGCGTCGCATCATTAAAAAAGAGGATTAAAAACTTGCACATGACGTTTATAGTCGAAATTCTCTCTTATCTAATAATCGGCGTTACCCGACTGTACTGTTCTTAACTCCGCTTGCCTTTTATGCTTACATATATGACATATATAACTTTTTCGAATATTATTTAAGCGGTAAAGATGCAGCCAACAATCGAAAAAAGGGCGTTTTTTACCAATTTCTTTACGAAAGATGAAAAGTTAGTAGAATAATAATATTAAGCGAATATTTAATTATTAAAATAAATATGTTTTTTTTGTTTTAAATATTAAAAAACGGCAATGTCGGAGCCATTCTCGTGAAACCCTATCAATGCTCCTGATTCTATGCTACCCAGTATAAATGGTTCAAATTTGAATTAAAAAAAAAACAAAACAAAAAATCATTTAATATCGAGTCCATGCCTATAGTTAGTGAAATACATCAAATTTTTCGAAAATATTGATTTTTGTATAGTTGACGAGTATTTAAATATAAAACTTGAACTTTCAATACAAAAAAAGAGCAAATTTTTATTGAGGAAATTTTCATGAAATCGAAAACATTCAAAATGTCGTAGAGAAATCGTCTGAATCATTCACATCTCATAGTGTCTGTAATTTGAAAACCAACTCCCTTCGAAAACCAATTAAACTAAGTAACTATTAGGTGAGTAGTTCAAATCTTTCCAAAATTTTGCCAAGCAATTTGATTTCTATATTATAGTGAGAAGAAGCAATGAAAGTTTATTAACAATTTCAATAGTAGTTCAAGCGTTTTATGTTCGCAGAACATAAATTTGAAAGTTGACAAATAAGAAAATCGCTTATACCCGTCATCGCTATCCGATAAAAAAAAAAGACTAAAAACAAGAAAAAAACACTAAATATTTTATATTATAGAATATTACGTAGGCGTGGCTGATTTTTCCCATTTTTATACAAGTACTGCGAGACAAGTCAAAGGATATAAATGCAAAATTTTTATCGTTGTATCTGTTGTAAAAAACAATTGTTGTTTGTTTTTTAAAAGAGAGAGAGATGGTCTCCTCAGGTCATGTTGTACTAAGGTTGTGTCCGATTGTCCGAATTGGGCCCGAATCTCAATACTAAATTGTGAACAATCTTTCTGTGAAATTTGACGCAGAATGTTGCAGAATTTTTACAACAAACATTATTAGACAGACTGACGGATATATAAAATCGATTTAAAATTTAGTATGTGACCAAGAATATTTATATTTAATGGAGTCTTAAAAGCTTTTAAACTGGATATTGCAAACGTTTTCACAAAACGATTATAGCACTTTCGTCCTTTGGCGATGGGTATAAAAATAAATTTTTTCATATAATTTTAATTAACCAACCTGTGAACTTGTATCCCTAATAGTATGTAAAGTTCTCTCTGAAGCTTTGTTTTTTTTTTTTTTTTTTTTTTAAATTAAATGCTTGATGAATAGCATTGCTCGCACATAAACCTATTTGTACACGTAGAAAACGAACAAATGACAAACAAGACTATATTGGTGTTGTAATTCTTCGACTTTTTCAAGGACAATTAAGGATGTGTAAGAATCATTTTATAATTTCGTTTCAAATTCAAGAAAATTGATAGCTTGACTTAGCGAGCTAAGAATTGTGAAAAGATATACACATGACCGTCCACCGATTAGCCATTTTTTATCGAAAATATTACCTGGATACCTGGACACAGGCCTCACACTGGCAGATAGAGAAGTTTAGATCAATTCAGAAAATGCTTATGAATCGATCGCTATAATAAAAGATGATGATTCCATCACAAATATATAAATATATAAAGTTGAATATACTCCATATGGCAAGTGTTGCAGTAAGACAATTCTCAATAGACAAATAAAATAAAAAATTCAAACACGAATTTTGAGTTTATGTTTTATTTTCAATTTCTATATCTCTATCAATAAGTGAGTAATAATTTTGTTATTAAAATATTATGCCGTAGCGGCGTGTACGTGATTATGCAATTCGCAAATTTGATAAAATGAATCGATAGCGAAACCTTCGATTTCTGTTCAAAACGAAATTTCCCAAATTAAATGCAAGTAAAGCAAACTTATGTACAGTGGAATCGCTGCGTGAAATATTGGAAGAAAATGCGATAATTCGTTAACTGTTCGTTTTGATCGTTAGCAAGTAAAGCGAGAATTTTACTCAAATCGAGACAATTAAATTGCAATATTCGAAGCTAAGTAATCGAGAGGAAGAGATTCGAGCTTGGGAAGTAATGAATTGATGAAAATTACCTCGTATAACTTTGCAAAAGCAAATCTTCTACAAACCGGAATTCACCGGAATTCACCGGTTGAGTGATACAAATCCAATTTAAGGGATACTCTAAGAATAACGCATGCGAGTGCAGCGAATTTTATATAAGTATATAAATAAAATACGTAAACCAACTCAATGAAATATTTTCCTGTGAGCAATGAGTAGAGAGCTAAATTTATCTTCGATTATTATGACGCATCGCATTTCAATTTACTTTCGATAAAATTCTCCCTACTTCATTAGCATTCTTCATAATCAAAAATCCAACTTATGCCTTTCCACAACCTACCCATTCGCCTATATACTAAGAGATACATATTGCTAAGAATGTGATTTTGATTCGAATGAACGGATAGAAACGAATCGAAAAATACATATTTTTTTAAATGCAACTCTGAACGCATGAGATATTTGAACTGAAATTTGATATAGATTGCAGTTACGGTGCGCCGATCTAAGACATAAAACTTACTACCATTGCATCATTTTATTATAGCAAAATTTGTTATTCTATATCTTTTGCACACACGGACATAACAACATGTTTATGATTGAACATAACCGTTAGGTTATCAAATAAATGTTCAAATTTGTAGCTTGTGAAACTCATACTGAAACCAAAATTTCGAATTCGATTTATTTAAGTAGTAACTCCCTTTTTGAATATCTTACTATACAATTGCTACGCATTTCCCGACTATAAAATTTTTTTTTCAAATTTTCCAATTGGCTTAAGTACTATAATATAATAAAATTTTTCATCTTTCAGTTGCAAAGATGGTCGGTCGAAGGTCAAAAATTTGTTCCATAAGCGTAATATTCTTGAACTCCTAATTTTTTAAGCGAATTTTTTCGAAACAATTTCAAATCCTAATGGCATCTTTACGAATAAAGCCATTAAAGATTTCGTAAATCTCAGTTATCACTATACGAAATACAGCAAATATTGTCTTTCAATGATTCCATTAAATTATATAGCCTGTAGATATATCTGGAGCCTACGCTTTTCATACCTATCACCAAAGGATGACGAGTGTATTTGTTTTGTCTAAACGTTTGCAACAACCGGATGAAGCTTCGGAAACCCCCATATAACATATATATATTTTCGATAAGCAACGAATGTTCGTCCGTCCGTCTATGTAATGTCTGTTGTAAACATTCTCCTGGCAGCGAAAATGAAGCAATTAACTTAAAATTTATCAAGAATTATGGCAAATGGGCCAAAATGGTCGAAGGACACGGCTGCAGTACCACGTAAACTGAGAGAAAAACCTCTGTTCTTAAAAAGAAATAAAGAATTGGTATTCTGCTCATTACTCATACTCAGCTATAGCAAATAAATTCCTAATTATTTTATTCTTTTTTATGGGAACGACGCTGGAGTCTTTGTACAAAAATGGAAAAAAATTGACCACGCCTATCCTATATTATTATAATTTGCTTGATTTTTGTTATAATTTTAAATATATTTGGTAACGCGTTAAAGAAAATTGATTAGTAGCAACTCACCTTGACCGTCCTCGGCAGTTATAAATATTTGACCATCTTGTGCAACGGTGGCTTCAGTTAAGTCCACGGTCATATTCTCGTGACCATTCACATCAGCGAGACTTTGTACAGTTTGTATGGTAGCACCGCCTTCGCCTTGATGTAACTGATAATATCAATAAAAGAAATAAATTAAACGCTTATGAAGAGTGTATATAAATATATGTATATATATTTATGTATATATTTGTATATGTATGTATATGTATAAAGTACCGTGGCGACACCCTGAACTTGAGCGGTGGTACCATCCGGTAGTGTAATTATTGGATTATTAGGATCAACCTGTATTAGAGAAACTGTGCCATCGGCATTTTGTATGGTAGAAAGCACCGTTTGAGTGGTATACTGTTGTGCCAGAAAATATGAAACAAAAAAAAAAAAGAGAAAAATCACAGAATCTTATGGACGATTCAATATCAGGCAATATGTAAATAATAACAAGCAAAAAACGCGTTAAAGCAATAAACACAAAATCATATAAAATTTTAGGAAAATCGAGAAATTGCAATTAAATGTGAAAGCATTAAAACTAAAGCAACATCCAAATTATATTATATTTAGCGAAGAATTCAAAATAAACGAAATGAAAATAACATAAAAAAAAAAAAAAAAAAAAAAAAAAAAACAGGAACAACTCATAATCAAGCATTTTCAGCTTAATAAAAAGGAAAGAGAAACATAACACGAACGATAACGCAAATAAACGAGTAAAATGTCTTTAATTTATCTGACTGTTACGAACATCAACATCTCCCAGGGTCATCGGTTCGATGCAAACTTGAGCGTTAGCTATTTGCTGAGCAGCCGAGACGCTAGCGTTTGTGGTATTTGTTGTTTGAGCTTGCTGCTGCTGACTGACTTGAACTTGGGGCGCCGGACACAATTCAATTTTAGTAGAAGCCGGTAACGTAGCCGTAGTAGTTATATGCTGATCGTTCGTGCTTTGAATGATAGTCGGCCCAGGGTTATTTGGATTTTGTGGATTTGTGGTATGTGTCGTTATAACTGTGCCTGAGCTATTAATTTTCACCACATTGACTTGTTGCTAAATAAGGATTGATAGGAAGGAGACATAAGGAAACGCGTACAAAATATTTCCGCTTGTTTATCACATTGATTGCGGCGAGTAGACTTCAAATATGTGCAATTAAATCTTTTAAAACTTACATTTGCTGTCGCGGTAGGAGGCGGTTGATGTCCGGAAACTGTTTGTATCGTCGTTATAGTATTATTGTTGCTAACTGGTTGCATTATGACCTTTTCTTCTTCGTCTTCCTCTTCGTTTGAGATCATATTATTGATTTTATCTTCTTCATCAGCAAATGTGGGCAACAAGTCTTCACGTCCATGGTACTTATAACAATTAATGACAATTTTTCGCAAGGCATGAGTCCATGAAATCTATTAAATAAATTATTAATTGATAAATAAATACGAAGTAGGACCAATTTTTTAATATACCTTTTGTTTGTCATCTTCGGAACGAGCATCCATGCGTACATTAGCCCAGGGTAATTCCTTAGGCCACCAGGGTGGACGCGTAGATTCACGACCCCAGCCGGGCTTACCGCGCCCTGTAGAGTACTTTAGCATTAGCGGTATAAAGGCTCTCAACTGAGCCTGGGTCATTTTTTCTACAGGTGTCGGTATACCATCAATGATTAATGGAGGCAATTCAAATAGCGATGGATCCTCTTGAGGTGGCGGGGGAGCCTGCTGAGCAAGTGCGTTCTCTAATTCATCCATAACGATATTTTTTAGATTACGTATAACGTCTTCTAATGGCTTAGCACCGAAAACCTTATAACTAGTATTGGGTTTGCCCGGTGTGGCAACTAGCACTACAGCCTGTTTACCCACACGACCAGTGAACTCATAAATAATCGCGCGCATTTTACGCAATAAGCGATTCTGTTGACGTTTACGGACTGATGGATTCGTTTCGAACGAATGCTGCCTTTTGCGTTTCTTTGACGACGCTATAGCAGCAGCAGCAGCTACCCCGACGGGTCCAGCCGCGGCCAACTGATTGGCTAAATCGTCCTGCACAGCGATTTGAGCCAAATCGTTATCATCGTACATACTGCCATCGCTACTTATTAGATCGTCATCGTCTTCGTCTGAAGGTATACTTAAGTTGCCGTCATCGATCAATTCAATTTTGTAAGTTTTCGTGTTTGTTGCAATACTCTCTACTGCTTGTTGGGTGGCATTTGTACCGGTGTTGACTGTAGTCACATTCATTTTTACTATATATATATATATATATATACATATATATATATATATATATATATAAATATATATATATATTTATATATATATATATATATATATATTTACGTATATATATAAATAATTTTAAGCGGAATCCCTTAAGGGATAAAGTAATCTTTGGTGTCGTTCCTTTAAAGCTGAATTTTTTTTCTTTTTCTTCTTAAATTTGTTGCACTTTCCCCGTCCGTGAATTTTTACAAGATAATGACAAGCTGTTTTAGTGCAGAAAACAAATATTTTATAAAGAGAGGAAGAGGAAGAGATGGAGAATCTGAAATAGAGAAGCAAAATAATATAAAATGTTAAGGAAATTTCAAACATGAAGACAAAGAATAACCTAAGGTTGTCAATAAACTAACAAAAAGTCACCGAACATTAGTTGATCTATTAAGTAAAGAGGCATCGCGTCCATCTCAGTTCTAGAATAGCTTTCACAATCACGCATTTAAATCATGCCTTAAAAATCATGTTTCTTCAAAGCAAATTTCTTTACCTTACCGTAGTAATAAAGATCAGAATAAAGATTGTATTTGGCTTATGCCGAATCTCATAATACCGTCACCTACACGAAAAGCTTACAAATATTATATAAAAACTTCTGATTCGTTTCAATTCATAAAACAACTCGACTCATCTTCAATATCGATTAGCAAATATGGACACAATTTAACCCTCATTTAGATGATTTACACAAATGGTTGAGAAGGTCATCGAGATATTAAGTAATTAAAACTCAAATCTGATTAAAACAATTTACAATTTTTCCTTTTTTATATGATCAATAAATCAAGGGACGTGCATTACTCGTGTAATATGGTGACGGTCGGAAAGAAGTGAGCAAAAAAGACAATAGATAGGAAATCGCTTGCAACCTAGTGAGTGTGTGCCTAAGCGATAAGTGTTACACCTTTACAGCGGCGAAACTTTCGCTACAACTGCAACCAAAGTAAACTCCAGCACATCGAGATTTGAACCTTTGGGCACAGTACTTGATAGACGCAATTCTTAGTTACTCGGAGTTACAATGATGATTGTCAGTAGGTCGGATATTTGATTCGTGTGCTCAATGGCGACCACTTCTTGACAACATATCAGAACTAATTGAACAAATGAAAATATATAACATATTATAATTTTATTAATTGCACGCAGACCAATGTACCGAACAAGTTGATTTTGAAATATTTAACATATAACAACAATTTTGTGTGCATTGAGAAATTCCAATGGCATGATCCCAGACTTCAGCAGGCATACAAACAATAATGACTAAACTAATGTTATGCTGATGAAGAATGTGCGTCTTTTCCCCTTCTGCTTATTTCAGTGCGTTACAAACATTTGAGTAACCGTACGGGTACAATGCCTATCCATGCTGACGAAAAATTGAATAATGTCCATTACCTTCCACCATCCCTATACTTATTCGTGGCTTATTGACAATGTAATGTACACTGTAACCTTCATCTACCTAAAGATGATAAAGACCTGGCCTTTAATCTTCAAGCCTTGAACATCTAAATCATGTCAAAATTTCAAATTTAAATTCGGCCGAGAAAGAAATATATACATATAATATATATATATATATATATATATATATATATATGCATTATATATATATATACATTAAAATATAGAAGGCATAAATGACAATACAATAGAATACAATACAATACAGACAATATATATATTACGTCCATCAATCCGTAGTCTGTTGAAATTTAAAACATGACAAAAAATGCATTTACAAGCATTTACAAGCATGAACTTGACCCAAATATTTCATTTTTATTTCAAAAATTGAAAAATTAAAAAATTTTTCAAAAAAAAAAAAAAATATTTTAAACTTAGCCTTGTTTTTTTATCAGTAACTTGCAACTTATGCACTTATAGGATGGGGTCTCTTAAGAGCAGTGTGTCAAAAGTGTGCGTGTGTGTCAAAAAACTAAGACCAATTTCAATTTTCTCCTTTCTAAATCTATTTATTATTTGGAATCTATCTCAAGCAGTTCGTAATGCAGAACGCCACGTTAATCGAAGAAAACTGATGTGATAACATAACCTCGATTTTTCAGTGATCTTGGCACGGTTTCTTCGCTCTTGGCTCTTAGCTTGTACACCATATTCGTTCAATTGATCGATTATTTCCCGTTCGTATGCGAACCTCTAAGTCTCACCTCCCGTTATAACGCGTTCGATGACTGATTGATAGCCAAAAGAAAAATCATCCCATCATACGCATTGTAAAAATCGGAAAAATACTTTCTGTATCGTACAAAATCGAGCGCAGTTGAAACACTAATGACTATGACATAAAATTTCACACAGATGTCTGTGCTACCAATTTAGAAAAAATAAAAAAAAAAGTATTTCTGGTATTCAAAATACCTTCTCAATGTAACTTATTTCTTGGTCACAATATTACATCCAACATTGGACAAATAAAAACTAGAAGACTTTCCGATCGAATTGCACGCACAAAATGCTTGAACGACATCATGATTTTTTAAATAAAAACTTAAAAGCTTATTCTCATCCGTCCGAGTGTGCAAACAAATAAATCTATCGTGTATACGGTTTTCGGCGAAATCCAAGAGAAATAATCGAACAAGCTCTAAAACCATAACGAACCACAGTTTGATGCGAGTTTTTGTCTTAGTTATTCCACAATTACGGTAAACAGTATATGCAGAAAGAATAATGACTTTTACAAATTTTTCATAAGCTACACTAAATACTTGTGGTAGTACAGAGCAGATTTCAAATTTGTGTGAGTATATACAACTGCCAAAAGATAGTCTCAAGATAGATCTACTTTTTGTTACATCAATCGAGTTAATATTATTTCCTGAAATAATCAACGCTTATGTACATGTCCGTCCGTCTGTCCATCCAATATTTGTACATGTGTTTATTTTAATCTTGATCTTTCGCTATAATCTTTCCATAGCATCCATTGTAATTATTTTAAATTTTCGGTCGGATATCGATATTTATAGTGGAAACAGTGTAATAAACAGGCCGGGAAATGTGCATTTAATTACGGCTTTTATAAAATTTATTTCATTTATGGTAATTTATAATTAGGAAACTGTAAACGCCCATCACATCTGCTTTCAGTGGATTTTCTTTTTTTTTTGTATGCGTTTCACGTTTTTCATTTTATGTAGCATTCTGAAGCCAGCATACCATTCAGGTCGGCTTAATCGTTTTCGCCTTTCGTCTTAATTACATCTTATCGTCTATTCCAACTTAGACGTGAAAGGATATTCATTTGTATAGGATTCCGATATACATTGTTTGGAAGAGTCTCGAAAAGAAATGCAGAAAACTTTTCAGGTATATATTTTGTCAAATGTTGTTTTTGGCACAAGAACCCTGCGAGAGACCGTATAATGTGTATATAGTTTTGATTTAGATAAGCCTGTCCGTATCTGTTCGTCCGTGCTTACTTACTGCGTTAAAGGTTTTCCTCCCTTAAAAGTTGGCAAAGACAATAATAATCCTTGCATACAGATTAATATTGAAAACATGCCAAATCAATTGAACGAATCATTCATGTGCATTATCTCATAAATTGAGGACGCTTCTGTTTTCGAAAGCAAAAAAAAAAAAAAAAAAAAAAAAATATTTTCGATTTTCTACCTACTATAATAGATACAGCGATAACAGTTTGATTTATAAGTCCATGAGTAGTCTAGTGGTGCCTGTATAAAAATGGAAAAAGCCACGCCACGCCTATCTCATATAGGAGAGTTTTTCTTTTTTCCAACGTACAACAAATGCGAGCATAATAATTCTCTAACACGTAAATATGTTGCGATAATTACAACTATGGCTATCGCATGGACTATGAAGTTGCCGTACCCTGGTTAAATTCCCATCCCAGTTGGATCATAATTTAATTACGTTTGGTATGCAGGCGTAGCGTAAATCAAGTAGTCGCAAATGAAGATGTTAGATGCCGCGATTATTACTTTTCTTAATAATATCAGCAACATGGGTATAAAATAGACAAGAGAAGAAGAGTAGAATATGAAATGTATAGTGGTGGGTATGCGAGATACGATCACCGCCGAATAATTATAATGAAAATTTCCTTAAACCGTTAACAGTGTCGACCGCATTACTGGTCAAACACAGAGCGTGTTTAATACGAGATTGGGTTGTAAAGAAAAACGACTCGACAAAACCGTAAATATATTTTCTAATATATAATCGTATTATGTCAAATACACATTCATAATGATACAATTTTATGAATAAATCCGACAAGGACGGATGAACGGATCACAACGTATATATTCGTCATACACAGTTAACACAAACAGTTGTGCAGCAATTCATATATTTATTTAACTTGCAGTCAATCTACAGCTTACACGATCACTTTTAACTCTAATTATATGCAAGTTGCCCTTCTATTGTAGCAAAGTGTTGTAGCTCATCAGATTTTTCCCGTTTTCCTTTGTTCATAAATATTAAATTATTATAATCATTAATTTTTTTTTTCTTTTTTTTTTTTTCTAATAACATCAGAATAATATAATATTTTCAAGCTCGGAGAGAAGCATAAATAAATTTATTATTTATTGTTAAATTTATTAATAATAGTAATCGAATGTAAAATGGTCTCGAAATTGAATTGTGTTCGTTTTAAATATGAAAGCGAATTAAATTACAATTAAATTCAATAATAAAATAAATGAAATGAAATTCTTAACTGATAACAATGATAATAATTTAATAAAGGGCCTTTAACTTCCTTAAACTATAAAAAAAAAAAAAAAAAAAAAAAAAAAAAACTATTTTGATTTAATATAAACTTTTTTAATAAAGAGCATACATTTCGATTTATATGAATTTCTTATGCAAAAGTTAAAAACATTCATTCAATGTTAATATAACACTTTGTAGCGCTAGTGCGATGAAGTACAAATATCGTTTTGTGATAAGAAATGAGGTCATCGAAAATGTGTATAATTGCACTTTATCTAGGTACCAACACTAACACACATACACACACACGCACACGCACACACACTCAACATGCATATATATACACGTATATAAACAAATATATTCATCTATGTGTACTGAGAAACATTTACGGAGCCGCACTAAAATTAAATCTTGTATAACAACAACACATTTGCGCTTGCGTAAATAGTTAATTAAAATTATTCGAAATTGCTTTTGATAAAAAAAAAAACCAAGCAAATTAGAAAATGTATTAAATATTAAGAATATATAATAAATATATATACG